AAACACAGCAAGATCTAATCTCAATTGAACTCACAAGAAGGTTTTGTCTCCAATAGAAAAATTCAGACTCTGGTCTTATCTTTGTAGTCAAAGAATGTGTTTCCCTCCCGTGTTAAGAAACCTAAATGTTTGTTTCTTTCATGCTCACAACATGCTCAGGCGGCTGCATCAACATCCCAAACACAACAACAAGGATTTAACACACATCAATGAGCTGTTTGCTTTCAGAATATTGCATCTTTAACTTCTGAGGGAATTCACTCATTTCTGTCTTTTTGTCTCCCTCTAGAGCCGTTTCACCCAAACACAGCAACTGTAGAAGCTACACTATCTAGAGAAAAAAACTAAGTCAGGTGGATATAAAGAAACAAAAAACATGGTGCACTTTCACTAATTGAAGCTTGAGGTTTCCATTTTAGCTCATAAAAATAGAAGATGGTGCATAACTTCTTCTTCACTGAATGACAATTATGGCTGGAAGCCATGTGGCAACAAAACAAATGTAGGAATCTACAGCAGACTGTTGAAAAAGCTGCAATCGCTTCATGCAGCGTGGCCCCTGATCAGTGTCTCAGCCCAGCTCAGTGTGTGTGTGTGTGTGTGTGTGTGTGTGTGTGTGTGTGTGTGTGTGTGTGTGTGTGTGTGTGTGTGTGTGGGGAGAGCAGAATAAAGAGAGAGAGGTGAAGAAGGTCATACAAAAGCCAGCTTGAACAAGTGAGTCTTCAGCTGCTTTTTGAAGGAGACCACTGAGTCCACTGATCTCAGGCTCAGGGGGAGAGAGGTCCAGAGTCTGGGGGCCACAGCAGCAAATGATCTGTCACCTTTGGTCTTTAACCTGGTGCTGCACAACCAGTAGGCTTTGATCACTGGACCTCAGGGACCTGCTGGGGGTGTAGGGACTAAGAAGATCACCAATGTAAGATGGTGATTGTCCATGTAAGGCCCTATAGACCAGAACCAGGATCTTGAAATGAACCCTGAAGTTGACTGGCAGCCAGTGAAGCTGGAGGAGAAGCGGGGTGATGTGGGTTGTTTGGAGGACTTGGTCAGAAGCCGAGCACAGGCATTCTGAACCACCTGTAGACGGTTCAGGGAGGTTCTGCTCAGACACGTGAAAAGAGAGTTACAGTAGTCTAAGCATGAGGAGATGAAGGTGTGGAGAACTGTCTCAAGTTCAGAGTGAGACAGAATGGGACTCAGCTTAGCAATGTTCCTGAGATGGAAGAAGGAAGAGCCAACAAGAGAACTGACATGAGAATCCAGGGTGAGAGCTGGGTCAAAGGTCACGCCAAGATTCCTGACAGAAGGTTTGGTGCGAGAAACAAGCTGATCAAGAGAGTCTCTGACTTTGGGAACCAGCTTGTCTGGGGCACAGATGAGGATCTCAGTCTTATCTTCATTCAGCTAAAGAAAGCTCCCAGCCATCCAGGTTTTGATAGAGTCTAAAGCCGGGTGTACACTGTGCGACTTTTTCACTTTTTTGAGCCGATTTTCCACTCGTGCGAGAATCCACAAGATCGGGGCGAGTTTTGCACCGAGCGTCGTGTAGTGTACAGGGGGTTACGAGAGGCGATTAACGCCACGTGACCAGCTACCGATCAGCAATCGTGAGGTCACACGGACTTCTGGCGTGTTTAATATTTTGCTCGTTCCTCGTGAGGGTATCGCACTGTTGAAGCGGCGCTGCGAGCAGCTGCGACCCAAAATGTATCAGAACCGCTCACGGCGCATGCGCAATCCTGCATCAACACCGCTCGCCCGCTATTTCCCTAATAACACACGCTGTTCGTTTTTATTTCTACATGTTTTTTCACTCACAAATATTGTCAAGAAAGTGTGCTTGTCGTGTTCATGTCAGATTAAACTGATCACAAAACACAGATTTACTTTCTTTATTTCGTTTTCCTCATCCAACCCCCATAAATGCCTGTGTGTCCTCCTGCAGCACTCCTGAAGGACAACAGGCAAGACAAGACAAAAAAGTCTGACATGTTGTGTAAAAACTGCTATTTTTAGCATATTTTTTACGTCCGACGTGTTGCTACCAGACGTACAGTGTGAGCAGTCAGGTCGCATCCGAGAACTGGGTCGTGCAGTGTGAGCACATGACTCGTGAGATCTGCCTTGCGAGGTAGTTGTACAGTTTGAGCTGAAGCTGAGTGCTACGAGTGAAAAAGTTGCACAGTGTACGCCCGGCTTAAGCAGGTGTGTAACAGCTGCAGCTTAGACATCTCATGGGGCTTAAAGGAGATGTACAGTTGGATGTCATCTGCATAAAGATGGTAGGAGATTCCTTTGAAGGAGCTCAGGATGTGCTGAAGAGGAAGCAGAGAGAGGAGGAAGAGCAGAGGCCCCAGCACAGAACCTTGTGGGACACCATGGGTAAGAGAGGTGGTGGAGGACCTAAACTTGGAGACGGCCACAGAAAAGGAGCGCTCAGAGAGATAAGAGGAGAACCACTCCAGAGCAGATCCTGATAGGCCTACCCAGTCTCTCAGCCTCTCCAGTAGCAGGTGATGGTCAACAGTGTCAAAGGCTGCAGTCAGGTCCAGCAGGACCAGGACAGAACAGTCCCCTGCATCACTGTGAGTCAGAAGGTCATTAGAGACCCTAAGAAGAGCTGCTTCAGTAGAATGAGCTCTACGAAAACCTGACTGGAAGCTATCATAGATGTTATGTTCATCAAGAGCAGCTGTGAGTTGTTTAGCTGTAACCTTTTCACAGATGCACAGTCTGCAGGAATGCTGACATCTTTAAACCTTAGATATTTTGTTAAAATAAAAAGAAATCATCTAAAAAATTGTAGCTTTTGCATATTTTAAAAATTTATTCACTTACTACAACAATAAAATATAGGCAATAAAATCAGTGTGAAATAGACACTATTTTGCACAGTGACACAAATGGAAAAAGTCCTAAATAAATTAAGTTCAAGTCCCATTAGTCATCATCACACACACTGGTGAAATTACATTTGCACATTTTACCCATCCCCATGGGCAGCGGTGAGCTGCAGCAGTGGCTGTGCTCGGGAACTATTTGATGGTTTAACCCCAATCCAACCCCTCAAGGCTGAATGTCAAGCAGGGAGGCATTGGGTCCCATTGTTAAGGTCTTTGGTATGGACTGGGATTTGAACTCTAATCTCCCAGTCCCAGGGAGGACACTCTATAACTAGGCCATTGAGAAAATGAAAATATGTAAATTTATGAAAATAAAAAACTTTTATAAATATTGTCTCCTTGAATTAGTTTTACCTGAATAATAAAACATTTAGATTTTACAGATTGTTATAAAGACTATTCTTAGTTTTCTCAACATAATAATAATTTTCATTTGATTATTATTATCTGTATACTGTATATATATATATATATAAACATATATATATATAATCCTTTTTTCTTATTTTTCCACTCCCCCGTCTAAATTAAATGTAACTTTCTTCCCTGACGTCCACTGAGCTTTGGTTGCAGAATGTTGGTAATTTTTTATTTTAACTTTTAAATTAAATGAGAAATTTCACATTTTTTACAGTCTGTTTTTGATCATTTTTATTGCCTCCTGATTTTATAACCAAACATCAGATGTTTTATATTTATAGAGCATTGTTTGACTAAACACTATAAAAGTGGTATTTTACCTCTTTGCCGTTGTCTAGTCCCTGTTGTCGTCGTTTGACTTGTTCCTTCAGAGTTACCACCTGAAAAATGAAAGAGTGACAAGAGGCTCCATCTGTAATTCTCGTTTTGATTTCATGCAGAAAGATAAGTTGGAACTCACCTCCTGAGAGGAAGACTGTAGCTCCTCCTCCAGGACAGCCACGCGTTCCAATGCCACTCGTAGCCTTTCCCGGACTTTCTCATCTAACGCTTTGTGGTGCTCAAACAAAGACTTGAGGGCTTTCAGGACCTCCACCTCGCTGGAGACCCCTGCCGGAGACTGGGCCTGCCTCTTCACCACTGTCATCCTCAGGCTGCGCTCATGGCGCGACACCAGGCACTCCAGATGCTCAAGCAGCAGCTGGAAGCACATGTGGTTCACATGCTTTGAAGTGACCCTACACTTGACTACACTTTGTCATGTGAAGGCTCTCTGTACATGCTAAGCAAATATTATGAAGATGAAGAGTACTGACTCGTGTGTTGTTTCTCTCAGCCTTCAGCTCAGCGATCTCCTCCTCCCTCTCCAGCAGCTGTTCCCGGCACAGGTTTAGCTCTTTGGTCAGCACTGCAAACTCCTGGAGGGTCAAAAGAGGACGCGTGTATTGACTGAATGCTGCCTAAAGTGAAGAGTGCTGATCACACCCACCTGTCAAACAGTAATGCTCATTGGATCTACTGCCACTGAAATTAAACACTATAAAAAAAGTCAAACTGCTGTTTAATCTCCTATTTCACTCATGCTTTCGTTCTTTTTTAAACACAGAAACAGTTTTGTTTACCTGTTTGTAGCTACAGTTTCGCCGACGGCTGCCGGCTTCTTCAGGCTGACGCTGATGGTGGCGCGTCACTTCCTTCTCCGTTTATCTGCGGGCAGCAGAGGACGTTGTCGCCCTCTACTGCCCGCTCTCCCCTCTCCGACGATGCAGTCCCATGCGTGGTCCAGCGTGTAAACTCCGTCGTCCCTGTTCATGGTCCCACATCCACGTCTCCTTATCTCGATTGCTTCCTTGATCCATCTTTTGTATTTTTGTTGTTCGGTGGTTATGATCCGTGTGCTGTCCCAGTCCATTATATGGTTTTCTCTTAAGCAATGATCTGTTACGGCTGACTTTTTTATTGTACTTTCTGCTTCTTCTTTTGCTGCTCTTGTGTGTTTTCGATTTGCCTCTTTCTCACACTCCTTTCTGTGTTCTATTGTCCGTGTATTGAGTTGGCGTCCGGTTTCTCCTATGTATGTTTTATTGCATATTTTGCATGGGATTTCGTAGATGACTCCACATTTTTGTCCAGCTGATATTTTGTCTTTTGGGTGTACTAATCTGTTTCTAACTGTTGTGTATGGCTTTGTTGGTGTGTTTATGTTGTGTTTTTTCATTGTTGCTCTTATTTTTTCCGTTATGCCTCTGATGTATGGTAGGGTTATCACTGGTTTTGGTTCTTGTCTTTCTGGGTTTCTGGTTCTTTTTTGGGGTTGTTCTTTGCTTTCTGTTTTTGTTTGTTGTTTTCCTTTGTTTATTGCCCATGTCGGGTATGCGCAGGTCTTTAAAGCGTATTGTATGTTTGTCCTCTTGTTTACGGTCTCTCTCTTCTGTTATTATGTTTGCTCTGTGATATAATGTTCTGATTACTGACATTTTGTGTATGGTGGGGTGTTCTGATGTCCATAATAGATATTGGTCTGTGTGTGTTGGTTTCCTGTATGTGTTTATGTTTAGGGTCCCGTCGGTCTGTCTGGTGATTTTCATGTCCATAAATGCTATGCTGCCTTCTGTTTCTAACTCATAAGTGAATTTTATGTTGCCTGTGTCGTCAATATTGTTTAAGTGTTGTGTTAGTGTTTCTGTTTGACCTTTTGGTATGATTTCCAGTATGTCATCCACGTAGCGTTTCCATAGTTTTATTTTGCAGTTTGGGGCGGCGGTGGCTATGGCTTTTTGTTCCAGGTCTTCCATGAAAAACTCAGGGTGGCTGATAACGGGTTACCCATGGCGAAGCAAGTTACGATAACACAATATACAAACAACTGGAAGGCTTCGCTATGGGTAACCCGTTATCAGCCACCCTGTGCGAGTTTTTCATGGAAGACCTGGAACAAAAAGCCATAGCCACCGCCCCCCCAAAATGCAAAATAAAACTATGGAAACGCTACGTGGATGACATACTGGAAATCATACCAAAAGACCAAACAGAAACACTAACACAACACTTAAACAATATTGACGACACGGGCAACATAAAATTCACTTATGAGTTAGAAACAGAAGGCAGCATAGCACTTATGGACATGAAAATCACCAGGCAGACCGACGGGACCCTAAACATAAACACATACAGGAAACCAACACACACAGACCAATATCTATTATGGACATCAGAACACCCCACCATACACAAAATGTCAGTAATCAGAACATTATATCACAGAGCAAACATAATAACAGAAGAGAGAGACCGTAAACAAGAGGACAAACATACAATACGCTTTAAAGACCTGCGCATACCCGACATGGGCAATAAACAAAGGAAAACAACAAACAAAAACAGAAAGCAAAGAACAACCCCAAAAAAGAACCAGAAACCCAGAAAGACAAGAACCAAAACCAGTGATAACCCTACCATACATCAGAGGCATAACGAAAAAAATAAGAGCAACAATGAAAAAACACAACATAAACACACCAACAAAGCCATACACAACAGTTAGAAATAGACTAGTACACCCAAAAGACAAAATATCAGCTGGACAAAAATGTGGAGTCATCTACGAAATCCCATGCAAAATATGCAATAAAACATACATAGGAGAAACCGGACGCCAACTCAATACACGGACAATAGAACACAGAAAGGAGTGTGAGAAAGAGGCAAATCGTAAACACACAAGAGCAGCAAAAGAAGAAGCAGAAAGTACAATAAAAAAGTCAGCCGTAACAGATCATTGCTTAAGAGAAAACCATATAATGGACTGGGACAGCACACGGATCATAACCACCGAACAACAAAAATACAAAAGATGGATCAAGGAAGCAATCGAGATAAGGAGACGTGGATGTGGGACCATGAACAGGGACGACGGAGTTTACACGCTGGACCACGCATGGGACTGCATCGTCGGAGAGGGGAGAGCGGGCAGTAGAGGGCGACAACGTCCTCTGCTGCCCGCAGATAAACGGAGAAGGAAGTGACGCGCCACCATCAGCGTCAGCCTGAAGAAGCCGGCAGCCGTCGGCGAAACTGTAGCTACAAACAGGTAAACAAAACTGTTTCTGTGTTTAAAAAAGAACGAAAGCATGGATTTAGAAAGACACAGCAAGAACACACCTAAGATCTCCTATTTCACTATTTAACTTCTTAGCGTGAGATCAGAATGTTAATTAGAAATTATTTAGATTATTTTGGAGCGATATTGTTTTGGGCTGCACTGCATTCTGCAGAGAATGCATTGAGGGCAGAACCGCGGGTAGCTGCAGGATAACATTTGAGCCCCTAATACAGCTTGGTGTTTATGTTCTGAACAAAAATATCCAAGTCTTTATTTCCACTCATGTCTGACAGACACATGGATTAGCGTGTAAATGGACAAAAGCAATGCAACTAGACGAGGGAGGGGCTGACACGTCGCACCTGTAGACTGTGTTGAAACCGTTACCTCACAAGGTTGCCTGCGACTATAAAGGGGAGGGCACATATTAAAGGGTGAATAGAGATCTTTGAGTCCCTTCTATGAATGAAAGGGAAGCCTCTATGTAAGGCAGGGGTGCCCAATCCTGGTCCTGGAGGGCCGGTATCCAGCAGGTTTTAGTTTTAACCCTTCTTCTTCACACCTGAATTCAATCAGCAGGTCATTTACAGGCTTCTGTATAGCCTCGTGAACAGCTGCACAGGTGATTCAACCTCTGAATCAAGTGTGTTTGGAGCAGAGAAACCACAAAACCTGCTGGAGACTGGCCCTCCAGGACCAGGATTGGGCACCCCTGTTGTAAGGTCTGGGCAAAATGACCTAAAATCAACATCAAGGTATATTGAGGATTTCTCCTCGATAAAGATGCGATAACTACAGGTATGCACAAAATCAAAAGTTGTCCACTAGATGGGGCTGTCACGTGTAACGCCGTTGTGGCATCAGGGAGCCTTGGGTCATTTATAAATAGTCAGACCGTGGAGATAATGTTGCGCAATCGTGTCCTTTTCACAAAAGATTACGTGATGGAGGCACAAAGCGGGTATGAGAGCGGTCTCTGCACTGCCGTGGACTTCCGCTTATCTTGTACATAGCTTGCATTTTATTGCAATCGATTAAGTTTTTTTGTCAAGCTGCTCCTAAAGATATCTGTCCCTCACAGTCCCCGACTCCCAGAGCAGCCTCTGATAATCTGAGCTCCAGCTCTAACAGAGACACACTCCCGGAGCTCTGCAATGCTCCAGATCATCATCTCAGCTGATTCTGTTCACAAAAGCTAAATGTATGGCCCGTGGGTGCTTTCATTTTCAGTATAGTTGCTGGCCAGACCTCGGTAACTCCTCACGTGATCATGACACCCCCCACTGTTGCGCCGAGTTGTAATCGCCACAATGTTAGTAGCTAGCAAGGCGGAACGAATGGCGCAAAATTCATGCATCGCCATGCTGGCATGGCGCGTTTATAAGACACACCGTTGTGGTAATAATACGCTGATCTGCCGGCGCCGTGTGTCCTGTACAAAGAGCTTTAGTCACGTGACTCGAGGTGGTACAGCTTCTTAAAGGGACATGAAAGTCGTCAACCTACACACATCTTTTCATTTCTTATTGTTCAATTTGTTGACAGAATATCGGTTAAAGTCAGATAACGATAAATTTACTGCCCAGCCCTACCTCCATGCTCCGATGATATTGTGCTGTTGTGCTGCATGCGTATGAAGCTAATTCAGTATTAGGGAAAAAAAAGGCTCCTCTCATTCATCATTGAACAAAGTATGTGGCCATTGTGCATTATTGGATATAGCTAGTATTACTAATTTTACTGTTTAAAATTTGTGTTACATCATTTTTAGATTTATTTAACTGTGAAATTTAGAAAATATGATTTATTGCTTTTAGTTTTGTTTTCTTTTAGGTCTTTTCAACCCCCCCGCCCATGATGAAGCAATCCAAAACACGTTTGGTATACCTCAAGGACCAGAACTTGGGGAAACTGATTCAGTCTTAAATTGAAGCTGACTAATGCATTTTTCAACATGTTTCTCCTACTTTTGGCTTTTATTCATCTCTTTAGTATTCATGTCTGTGCTACATTCTTGGTTTCATTTTGCAGTTTGTTCTTTGGACATCCTGTAGCTGCACGCTTGGGTCATTTTTTCCAGCGGGATTTAAGATCCTATATTTTCATCTCACTTCATCTTGTCAGTGTTAGCCGTGCTCCTTTTGCATCGCTTGGTGCTGTTGAACATTTAATTATGTGTTTTGTTTCAGCTATGTTGCTTTCATGTCAGTTTAATTGAGCGAAGTTGTTTTTCCTGAGCGCGCAGTTGAGTCTGCATTCAACTACACCTTGAGACAATGTTGCATGGTTTTAGGGAGCAGCCAGCGATGATGGATGCTGGTTGCAAGGTTTACTTTATTGTGCTGTTTGGATGTTTTTCCCAGTGAGTTTAGATATGTCTGTCACTGTTGTGTGTGTTTCTCAAAATGCAGAAAAGCAAACAATAAGATTTGAAGGAAGTCATGTGATTAAAAGAGGGTTTTTTTCTTTTATTACTAACTTTAAGGAAAAATTGGAGCGGTATCACAAAAATCCTACTAGTATGAAAAGTCTCAAACAAGAATACATCATCCTTGATATTTGTAGTGACAAAGCTCTGTTTTTATGCCTTGGTTTTGACATAATGTCTAACATTTTTTTGCAGAATGTGACAGCAGTGACCACTGAAGCCTTCTGAGAATGGATTAAGTAGAATCAGGCTTCATAAATCCAAGATTCCTGAGTGATTATGGCACCAAATTCTGACCCCATCTTGCTAGTCACAGGTCCCCAAGGACCATCAGCCAACAACGCATAGCCAGACACCACAAAGCCCTCCCAGAGGTCGACTCTTCAACGTGCCTGAGCTCTTCTGGCTGCATGAGGAGGCCCTGAAATATAACTATAACTGGCACAAACCTTTATAGCTATTTTCAGCCTCTGCCCACAGTGTCGTAAACAACAGTGAACAGTTTGACAAATCTTGATTTCATTACCGACACAATGAGTCTACAGGAATTCGGTGCTGGATGGAGGCAGCAGCCTGCCAGCATTTTCAGAAAATCTGCATCTTACCTACCACAGCGCATGCAGCTAACCCAGCCCGGCAGTTTGAGACTCATATAAAATATTACAGTTGGGTTTTACTGCACATGTTGCACCTGAAATGGGTTTAATTGCACAATAAGCACAGCTGCCGGTTGCCCACCATTAAAACCCTGGAAGCATTAGAGTAATGGAAACGTAAAGTCACACACTCAGCTGAAATGCTGTGTTTTACTGGGAATTGCATGATCCTCATAGTCCAAATGTGCTGCTTTCAGTCTGGTATCTCATGGCAACGAAACAACAGCTGACTTGGCCTGAGCTGAACTTTCAACACTTATGTCTGCTTTGCTTCTGTGATCTAATTATGTCCACAAAACGCAGCCGCTGTCCTGTGTTTTCATCAGCTCGCGTGTGATCACAGCATGATAAACATATGGCACAAAGCACGTCCTCCAACACGTGTGCAGCAAATCATCCGTGTTTTCACTCATGAAAAGGAGCTGTTAAAGGGCTCTGAAGCGAGCACGCTGCTGTTACTGCTGCTATCTCTGCTCTGTGTGCTAACGGTGATCAGTTTACTTCGCTCGGCAGCAAACAGGCACCTCACCTAGCACCCTCCTCCGGCCAAAGAGCATTAAACAGTACAGCGTGTACAGTCCGTGTCCAGCCTCTGAGCTGATGCGCCGAGCTGAGCTCAGACACGGCACAGAAGTGAAAGGAAGTGTTTCGAAAGCGAGAAAGTTGCTGTCGTCGTGTACAGATGGCGTGTTCTGGGCCCAAAGGACATCATAAAACAGGGATTAATACAAATAAAAAATGGTGAGGGATTGACGACACAAACCAGGCACTTTCCTCTCTCCTGGTTTTGGTCAAACTGTTCAGCTCAATCATGAAAAGACACATGGAAAACAGAGTCTAGGAACCAGATTATTAAAATGCAGATCACTTTGATTTGCTAGTCTCTCTGTGTTTCACAGGACTTATTTTCTCTCTGTGCCATGCTGTCTCTCTCACTCTCTTTCTCTCTCTCTATCTCCTGGCAGCGTCTACGCACAGACAAACTCAGTGAACTCATCTTTGTATTACAGCAATCCATGTTTTCCTCTATCACTGAGTGTTTGAGTGTGCATGCATGTGTGTGTGTTTGTCATATTGATCCCCTCTACGTAAGGTAATCTGGCCCTTTCATGTCCGGTCGCTCTCCGCTTCAGCACCTCTATACCAATTATTTTGATAATTCAGGCGTAGAGACAGGAAAATAGGTACAAACAGCAAGGGAGACATCATCAGGGCCTGAGGCGTCTGACTCCTGCCTGAAAATAGAGACGGGACCCTTAAATGCTGAGTGGAATTACAACATGATTAGCTCTCGGGCTCTATGATGTGGGATAATGTAAGTGCAGCATTTTGCCATCACCAGTTTGATACCATCACATCATGAAAATCCAAGTCTGTTGACACAATCTCATGCTGTGTGCATTTATGGCCCTGAACACATTTTAACTTAATGTTTTTAATTATTTGTTAAATAAAATATTTTACAAATATTCTACAAATAGGTATTTGTTCCACCTTTGATCAAAATTAATAAAATACCAGCATTACCCGCCGTTAAATGAAGAAATGTATTTTTCATCAGAACAGAACTATTTAAGGCAATGCTACTTTTACTTTGATAGTGCGTTAGCTAATTAGTTTTTTGAGCGATGTAGAGTCTGAACAAAATAGACACAACAAATTGGTATTCATTGTTATTTAGATATTTAAAGGGAGACAAGGCAGTTTTGGCTTGCTTTTAGCACCCCCTAGTGACCGTTTGTAGAACTGAAACCAAAACCTATCTCCTCCTTGTGGTTGCTTTTTTAACACCTTAATCTAACAGCTGAAATGTCTCCCCAGACATAATTTGTGTCTTCAGGAGTGATTCATCACTAAATTAAAGAAATCAGCTGCGTTCATGATCTAAAACGTGCAGGAAACATGCCAGAAGCAGACTGCAGCGTATGTAAACTCAGTGTTTCCCCAACATAAGCTCAGGTGCGCTGCGCCATGGCTGAAATTCCAGCGCCACGCCTACGAGACCCCCCTTCCCCAGATGAAAGGAAGGGAAACGCTACAAGCGTTTTCACTGGCTTCAGTTCTGCAACTTTTTGCCTGCTGGTCTCGAACTGCAAATGCCAGAGCTGCAGCATTAGCTCAGACCAGAATCAGGTCTCACAGGTCTCCTAAATGTAAACAGTAGCTACGTCCCTCCTTTTTTTAAAAGGACAAAATCTGACAACACCCCTCTGGCTGGCTCATGATAAAATTTGTTTAGTTTTATCCTTCCTCCAAATCTGAGACCATGGTCTTGAATGAGAAAAGGGTAGAATGCCTTCTCCAGGTCAGGGATGAGGTCCTTCCTCAAGTGGAGGAGTTTAAGTATCTCAGGGTCTTGTTCACAAGTGAGGGAAATATGGAGCATGAGATCGACAGGCGGATTGGTGCTGCATCTGCAATGATGCGGGCGTTGTACCGGTCTGATGTAGTGAAAAGAGAGCTGAGCAGGAAGGCAAAGCTCTCGATTTACCGGTCGATCTACGTTCCTACCCTCACCTATGGTCATAAGCTTTGGGTAGTGACCGAAAGAACGAGATTGCGGATACAAGCGGCCGAAATTAGTTTTCTCTGCAGGGTTGCTGGGCTCTCCCTTAGAGATAGGATGAGAAGCTCAGTCATCTGGGAGTGGCTCGGAGTAGATCTGCTGCTCCTCCACATCGAGAGGAGCCAGTTTAGGTGGCTCGGGTATCTGGTCAGGATGCCTCCTGGACGCCTCCCTGGTGAGGTTTTCCAGGCACGTCCAACCAGGAGAACACCTAAAGGAAGACCAAGACACACTGGAGGGACTGTGGGTTTTTCTCAATGCCAAGGAACCTCGCCTTGATGTCTTGGCCCCGCCCCGGTCGCCTAGGAAAAACGTCATCAGGAGCCGCCAAGACGTGTTCCAACCTTCATGTTCTACCAAGGCGTGTGTTCTCCATTTGTTAACCGTTTAGCTAGCTGAGCAAGGACACACGGGAGGTGTCTTGTAGCCTAGCCTTGGACAAAAACTACCCGCAATACAACACAGTGTTTTCAAAAGGATGGCGGATCAGAAGCCGGCATCTACTTAGGAGACAATTTTGAAGTTTATAAGTAAGTCAACTAATTGAAAATGTTTTTTAGATCCAAAGAAGTTATCTATGGTTGGTTGGTTGCTTAGTAGTTGCAGTTTTGGTGGCTAGCGGGTAGTAACTCAGTTATATATTTAATTTAATAAACATATACAAAATTTAAAAAGTAAAAGGCTTGTTATATATTAATACTGAAACTAATACCTATAAAATATAACGTCATCTGCCGTGTCACATGACGTTACGTGACCGCCGTGGAAGCCGTGGTCACATGATGAAAGTCTGTTCCATTTAACCGTTCTCTTTGACCAAGGAAGGACAGTGTCCTCGTAAGCAAGGCGCCTGGCCTCGCAAGACATCGCCTCGCAAGGCCAGACGCCTTGACATTGAGAAACACCCTATGTCTCTTGCCTGGCCAGGGAACTCCTTAGGGTACCCCCAGAGGAGCTGGCCCAAGAGGCTGGAGAGAGGAGGTCTGGGCCTCTCGACTGGGCCGCTTCCCCCCGAGACCCGACTCCGGATAAGTGGCTGAAAATGGATGGATGGATGGATGGATGGATGGATGGATGGATGGATGGATGGATGGATGGATGGATGGATGGATGGATGGATGGAAGGATGGATGGATGGATGGATGGATGGATGGATGGATCCTTCCTTCCAACGTGTTTAAGATATTGGCTTGTTTTGTAATTATTTTTCATTGTAGAATTCTTACATATTGCTCCTTTAACTGATAATTTAAAGCTTGCATAACAAAAATATTAACCTGGAAATATTAGAACTTCTTTGTGGTCTGAAGCAACATACTTCTGTTATAAATGATGGTAATTTATTGTAATCAGTGAACTTGGCAAACACTCACACGTGAAACTTTAATTGAAAGTGATAATAAAGGAGCCTTCCATCTATATAATCCGCCCACGTGTTTCTTTATTTTTTATCTGAGTGTTACTGATCAAACACTGACCAACTGTGTGTCACATGTTCCAACAGAATGAGGTGTTTCTGTTTTCCCATCAGCATTCTCAGTACATGACAGAGAAAACTGGCAGTTTTAGTTGTAATTTATATGAGGTGTTCATTAAGTTTCACATCAGCAAAGATGATGATGATGTTGTTTTTACCCTCCTGAGCCTCTGTACCTGTGGCAGGGCGATGGACAGCTGCCTCTGCAGGGACTCCTTCTCATGGCCCAGCTCTCTCAGGCGAAGGTGTGCCGTCCCCAGACTATCCTGCGTCTCCCTCAGGCTCTCCAGCAGCCTCTCCCTCTCCGTCAGCATGTTCACCATCAGTGACTCCAGGTTGCCCGTGCTTCCTCCTTCATCACCTCCTCCTCCTCCTCCACCACTGCCACCCCCACGGGGATCACGGCCACCATAGCCTCCCATCCCACCGCCCATCACTCCTCCACCACCCGCTGGGGAAGATGAGCCGCCCCCTCCTCCGCCGCGCCCGTCCTCCGAGATGGTGGGCATCACCTCGCACATCATCTTGAAGCCTGAGTGTGAGAGGTGTTATCTGAGGAGAAGTCTAGGAGGGTCTGGAGAACAGCTGATCTCTTGTCTTGAAAAGCACAACAGCTGTTTGTTTGTTGGGGTACGGCTCACAGGTTTATTTGTGAGGAAAGCTGGGATAAAGGGTAGAAGATGGGGAGGCAGTGTGTGGATGAGGGGATTGGGGAAGGAGGTGAAGTGGGGTACAGGGGTGAAAGAGGACAAGTGCAGGTTTTAGTGGGTGACCTCTGACCCCTGGATCCGAGCTTTATTGAGTCGCCAGATGAACCTGGAGGTAGCAGAAGAAAGAAGGAGATCAGTATTATTATTTCTACTATTATTACAAAAAAAATAAAGCTAATCAGTGTGAATAAAGTAAGGGAAGTCATGCAGGATTCAGAATTTACCATGTAAGGCCCTCCAGGCTGTGATACAAATCAATCAATCAATCAATCTCTCTCTCTCTCTCTCTCTCTCTCTCTCTCTCACACACACACACACACACACACACACACACACACACGCACACACACACACACACACACACACACACACACACACACACACACACACCAAATCGCGTTTTCTCAGGCGTTATTGTGAAAACCTTAGAGGTAGATTGCCACTGCTGTTGCAGCAGCCCTGCCTGTGGAGTGATTAAACCATCTGTGCATCATGGCACAGCGCGTCCTTAATGGTAACGATGAATTCGCATGATGATGTACGGAAATAAGAGCAGCTTTTACCAACTAAACGCACACCATCAGAAGAACGGCCTGGTCTTGTGGGCTGGAGGAAGATGCGGCGCTGTTTCTAACATTTGTGGGGAGCAAAAGAAAAAAGGGTGTCATCATCGTGAATTGGAATTTCTGGCAGTTCCAGAAGGAGAAATGGCTCTTTTCAGCGTTTCCGGAAGCCATCTGTAGAAATATTCTGAAGGCCTGTGATCCTCGGGGTCTTTGGATGGAGAATTAAAGGCTGTCTTCGCGAAATAAACGGCTATTTGTGTACGATGAGCGATGTTCCATCCTGATAGCCTCACACCTCTATCACATCATGGTGGGAGGTGCCAATCATCCTGTAAATGATGCGGGCCTAATTAACGGGATTACACCATAAAATGTCACACCTCTGGATTATTTCACCGAATAAATAACTCCAACAGGGCGAAATGGCCCGCCGCGCCGGCTTTCTCCCATCATTAAGGCGGTTATTATTTCCCATCAACACCCTTCTGCCCCCCACGCGCCACTCTGCCCCCCACCCATAAAAACAGCTGGACGATCGAACGCACGGCTGCATCTGAGCGTGCGGAGCAAACCGCGGATTTCAGCACTTCATGCGTCTTACCCGGTCCATGATCGACGGAGAACGGAAATAAAAGCGCATCGTCGCTCGGTTTACTCCATCAGAGCATCCGAGAGACGGAGGCTGCAGGTTATCCCCGTTACAGCCCGGTTACCAGCCTGGACCCGTCCCCTCCCTCCCTTTGAAGTGGGAGCGACGGCACGGATCAGCTGCTGCGTCAAGCCGCACCGAGCACAGAGGGACACTTCCGGCGTGCGCGCCTTTTAAATACTGTTTATTTAAAACTACATTTGTTGATGTTTTCTAACGAAAACCGCGCGTAGGCCTTCAATTTAGAAATACCACATTTGTAATAAATTGATATACTAAATTTTAAACGGGGAAAGGACTGAACACTAGCCAGATTTACTTAAAAATCCCATCAAAGCACAGAAAATGATCCCAAAGATGATCAAATTAACAAAAAAGACACCAAATGCCCAGATAAGAGAAGATACCTCACAGCTTTTAAGAAACATGTTATTTGTATCATTGTCATGAATTGCTGTTGTCGTTGCTGCTGCTGTTGTTTAGTTGTAAACAATCACTTAAAAACATTTAGCCCAGACTACGATCATATTTTGAAGGTGAACCTTGAAGGTTTTCCTCTTCCGGGCATTTCTAGGTAACTTTACGCATTACCGTGGTTTTCTCAGCTCCCCGTGAAGATGCTGGGTCTTAAAGAAACAGCGAGCATCTTCACAACCTCCTCCTGCTCATCAGATATATTTTTTGTTTAGCTTCTTTCTTTTATGTGTCGAGCTGCACATTCAAATATCCATATGATCCGGAATTAAAGAGATGATCCCTGTTTTTCACGTCCAGAAGTTCACGTCATTCTCTACAGTTTTTTCCACTCTTGTTAAAATTGTTGAACTTTTACGCCCCCACGCGGTGAAAGGGAAGACTGCAGCACTGCGCTCTCATCCAATAGTGATGTGAAGAGATTGTCCGATTTTGGTTTTACAAAACGGCCACATAAACTCATGGAGTATATTGATAAACCCTTAAAGATGCAAACATATCAACAAAACAATGAACGTTTTGAGGGAATGACTCAATATTTGTCTTATTTCCTTATAAACATTTTCAGATTTTCCTAACGTTGTAGTAAAAAGGCAGGAAGCTGTTACACCGTACCCTTAAAGCCCTCTGCCCTACTTATTCCTTTAATTCAAGATTTAATATTTCTTATTAAAACTTTGTCAAAGTAAATATGGAAGAGAAGAGAACAGTGAGACAGATCACGAATAAGTAGTATGAGGCCATTTGACAGAATTCAGCATTAAAGTTACTTTAAATATTAACTTTATCAAACCTTTTCTGATATTTCAAACATGTGAGTGAGGATAGGAGTGAAGAAGATGTGGGTTATGGTTTGGCATCGGCTCCTCTGAGAGATTAGCTACTAATCTTATGAAGTTAACAGTTAAGAACTACTATTATATCATCTTACATACTATATTTGTGTCATTACTACATCCTTTGCTGTAAATAATTTACAATCTCTAGTCTATTCCTATTTTTCTTTCCATTTAATATACATATAAATATATATATATATTTGTGTGAATCTGTTTTTTTCTTAACGTACCTGTAACTTTGCTGCTGGTGCACCAGAATTTCCCCAGTGAGGGACAATAAAGGGTGTTATTATTATTATTATTATTATTATTATTATTATTATTATTATTATTATTATTATTATTATTATTAAAGTGCAGCAGCAGACAGAGACAAGGATCCATTTAGGTGACACAATTACTGTCTTTTACTCTTTAGAGGATTCCACAGAGGTGATGGATGAAAGTAGAAATACTCAGCTCTGACAAACATCTAAACTTTGATTGATGTTCAGTTAAAAATAAAGAGCAGATACTGAACTTGACCTAGCAGCAACGATGGTAAGTATTCAGTTAATTTTAAGTTCCTTGACTTTATGTGACAACAAAGAACAGTTTAGAGTTTAACAAAGTAGAAACTGTGCAAAGACCTAGTGCGGATGTCCTTCAGATGTGGTCTGGACCGCCAGACTCAAGATAGACATGATCTGCACGTCCATGCGATGTTGATTGTTTGCAGGGTTCACTTTGCATCATTTTGACAAATTAATACCAATGTATGGCATTCTGTTAGTTACAATTCTCTTTGCTCTTGAAAAACTTCTTTCTTTATCTGACAAAGACGAAACTGTAATTTTGATCACATTTCCCTCACATTTATTGTCAGACATAATTTTTTTACTATGGCTTGTTTTAGCAAATCAAAACAAAATATACTGCAGGTTATTAATGAATAGTTTTATACGAGCCAGTAAAAGAGCTGCCAAATATCCATCCGCAGTTGAATGATGCAGCAACGTGTTGCATTTATTGAATAATAAAATACAAATTTACCTGTTTGTGCACAAAAATAAAATGTGAGGCTTGTTGATCAGATTGTGTATCAGATGTTAAAAAGTCACGTGGCAAAATATCGAATCAGATATGTGCAGTGAGGTTTCGGTGGTGAAATAAAAATGCACGGTGAGATCTTAACCAGCATGTCAACAATGTGTTGACAGCTTCAGAGCTGACCCATCAGATACCTTCAGATGAAACATCTGATCTTCTGGTGACCAATTCCCTCGGCAAACCATCTTCTCTCTATCCTGGGTAACAAAACCATTAACCAGTGCTGGTTATGCACAAAGCTTTTTTTTAATAACATTTAAACTGTATCGATTAAAAAAAATTTGCAAAAAGCAATAATTTTACCTACTTTAAATATGAATTGGTTTTAGTGGTAAATGTACATTTCTTCTAGCTAAGCCACAACATTCTTGCAAATGTTCAGTTACCTAAAGTTTAACCTAAAACAAATGAATTCTCCTGAATCATCCCACCACACAGAACACTCTCCAGATGTCTACATTTGTCCAACGTGACAGCATGTGTGACAGCTGCATGGACACCAAAGGGTGTGGGAGTGTCCACGGGGGTCAGGAAAGGTCAGAGGAGATAGCAATGGCCCTCAAAGGTGTCCATGGGGTAAGGCGACAACGGCGAGGATGAGCCAGCCCACTGGGAGAAGTGTTGAGGGACAAAGGTTAAATGTCTGTAGGGGAGGGGGAGGCTGGGTTCAATGAAAACACCCTCAAACTGGGTGAGAAAAGTCACAAATGATTTATGAAACTGTCATATAATAATATCCACTGATAGTCATACATAAAACTGTGTTATGATACAGTTCTGTTTGAAACACTTATCAGGTTACAGTCCACTCGTACGGTTTGTATTTTATTTACAGATACTGCTGAAGCTTGTGAAATGGTCTGGTTTCTCTGCTGTATATATATATATATATATATATATATATATATATATATATATATATATAGAGAGAGAGAGAGAGAGAGAGAGAGAGAGAGAGAGAGAGAGAGAGAGAGAGAGAGAGAGAGAGAGAGAGAGAGAGAGACAAGACCCATGGTGTAGGCAATGCAAAGAAGCCTAGACCTTGTGCTGACTTATATTTCCACATAATCCAGTCCTGTCGGACCACTTTTTCATAACTTTTGAGTTTATTATAACTGATTTCTTTAGATATGAAAGTAAATTTCACTATAGTCGGTCTCTATCTGACAACGCTGTTGCATCTTTCAAATCAACTGTTCCATCTTTACTGTCCTCAGCATCTCAGAGGAACATAGCAGAGGGCAATATTTTCTTTTCTAGCCCCTCACAAATTGATGATTTAGTTCACAATGTTACTTCTTTTTCACGTGTGGTAGATGATGTTGCCCCTTTAAAAAAGAAGGTAATTAAGCACAGGAAGTTGGCTCCCTGGTTTAATTCTGAACTGCGTACTTTAGAGCAAAACTCTAGGAAATTGGAAAGAACATGGCACTCTACATACTGGGAGTAGTCCTTCTTATTTTGGAAAAATAGTCTAGTGCTTTATAAAAATAAGCTTCGAAAAGCTAGAACAGCTTATTTTTCATCGCTAATTGAGGAGGGTAAGAATAATCTAAAATTTCTTTTCAGTAAAGTTGCCAAACTTACACAGAGTCATAGCTATGAACCATATTCCCTTAGCCCTCAGCAGCAATGACTTTATAGAACTCTTCACGAATAAAATTGATTCTATTAGAAACAAAATCCTTAGCATCCTCCCTAATGCGCTTTCTTCTTCCTCAGTAAGTGAGGCAGCATCAGAGGTAACTGTAGAACCTCATCTGTGTTTGAACTGTTTTGATTCAATTCAGCTTTCGGTGTACCACAGGATTTTAAGGTTGCTGTAATCAAACCTCTACTTGAGAAATCCTTTCTGGATCAAGATGACCTAATGAATTACTGTATAGACCAATATTTAAAGGTGGTTTTCCAGGAATGCTACTCAGCCTAAAACAGCTCTGTACAGCATTGTTTGAATCAGCCCATCTGAGTCTAGTTTTGTTCCCAGCCAGCTCTACTTTTTCCAGGTATTTTTCTAACAGGAAGTCTGGTTGAAGTAAGTCTCCATCCATACCTTGATTCCCACTTTAAGTGACCAGCCAGCACCATGTCCAGTGACAAATCTTACAGGGTAAGGACTAACTTCTACTAATAAGTTTATTTTACAATGGCATTTAATGGTAGAACATTTTCTGGGCCCAGAATCAGCTGCTTGACTTGCCAAGTCCACTATTTTACACAGGCTGTGTCCAAATTCAGGGGTTGCGTGCTCATGAGGTCGAATTTTAAGACCAGTGATGTCACAGCACCTCGACGAAGACTGTCCAAATTCAAAGAGTGCTCAGAATGCGGTCTTGAAATCCGTTCTTCTTTTCCCCGAGTTTGAGAACAGGTGCAGTGTAGCCTATAAGTCCTGTGATGCACAGCAGGATGTCACACGGATGGATATGAAATACAGTAGCGTTTTTGTGCTTTTCAGTATCCCAAATTGCTCATGTCATGAAGCTGGCTTAAGTTGACATTAAATTGGTAAGAGCTTTTAGACTTAAAAAATAAGCAAATAAAACTATACCAGCGTATCATTGCATCTCAGCCTGACATACAAAATATGCCAGTGGTGGTACATCTGCTGTAGTTCTTCAAACATAACAAAACAAGGAAAAAGTTTAAAACATGTGCGAGCTGCATTTCTGCAGCTTCTTCTTAGTGTGGTAGTTGTTGCTAGGTGACTGGAGGACATCTGCCGTGGAAGGGGCGGGACTATTATTTAAGGCTGGACTGTCCAAATCCACAACAGTTAACATCTGGTCTAATCAGTCACAGAACACGTTCTCCTGAGACCAATGAGGATGGGTACTAAGAGCATGCCACCCCTGAATTTGGACACAGACCCAGTTTCGCCTTGCTGAGCAGACTTTTTAGCACAAGGTGCCCTCTAGTGGCTGGTAAATGAAAACATAAACCCAGTGTTGTGCCCGACAGAATAAAATTTTGATTATTTATTTTTTAAATATAGTTTTTCAAGGAAAAACTGTACATTCATTCTGCACACCTCTTATCTCCCCCTCCCCTGTTGTCTAGGAGATTCTGAGGGGGATGTCCACATTAGACTTGTTTCTGAAGGTGGTATTGCAAAGAGTTTAATAAACGTGATGTTTTCCTGTTTAGAAAAAGGTTTAATGTACTCTTAAAACAGGACAGGTACAATACATGGCCCTTAAAAAAGAGGGCAAACTGAGGTGCAATAAATATTTACAGTGCCTACTGGGTAACTATACAAAAATCAATACTATTTAAAACATGTCCCAATTGGACGTATCTTTAGCTTATATATAACTTAAATTAGGACAACAGGGGAGAAGACTAAGATTGAAAGCTAAGTACTACAAGTGCTTAGCTCTGTTTAGCTTAAGAGCATCCCTAAAGGAAAACATAAACAGTAAATGGGTCAGAATGGAACCAAGCTCCTCTAGCCCTCCCACTGTCTTTATGGGTGATCCCGCGAGGAAAGTTGACCATTGAGCAGGATTGATGGTTTATCCCTTGAGGTCCATGTGGCAGGGGTGAGGTGGTGCTCGCTCAGAGGAGGAAATCAATAGCAGTCCGGCTTGGTATATTCCACATCATGGAGTCTACCACTCACAAAAACCGGGCAAGATACGGGTAGTATTTGACTGCTCAGCTAAGTTTCATGAAACATCTCTCAATGATCATCTTCTCACTGGACCTGACCTAACAAACAAACTTGTGGGTGTCCTGTGTAGGCTCCGGAAAGACCCAGTCGCTGTAATGCGTGATATTGAGAGAATGTTTCACCAGTTTCCTGTAAAGGCCGAAGATCGAGATTATCTGCGTTTCTTATGGTGGGAAAATGGTGATTTGGAAACCAAACCATCCACCTACAGGATGAAGGTCCACCTCTTTGGAGCAGTTTCCTCCCCTGGCTGTGCCAACTTTGGCCTGAGGCATCTGGCAACTCTAGGGAAAGGTCAGAACTCTGAAAGCACCATACACTTCATAGAAAACAATTTCTATATAGATGATGGTCTTGTAAGTGTTGCTACAGAACAAGAGGCCATTCAACTTGTCAGAGAATCAAGGGAACTTTGTAACACTGGCAAGTTAAGACTCCACAAGTTTGTTTCAAACAATGATAATGTAATGGCATCCATCCCAGAAGGGGAACGCAGCACTGTCAAAAATCGAGACATAGAATTTATTTATTCACACATCGAAAAGGCACTTGGAGTGGAGTGGTGCATCACACATGCCACTCTTAAGTGTAGAGTTGAAGTCAATCCCAGACCATTGACAAGGAGAGGTGTCCTTTCTACTGTAGCCTCCGTTTATGATCCACTCGGATTCATAGCACCTTTTGTTCTTTCTGGAAAGCAGATTCTTCAGCAAATGTGCAAAGATAAGATCAGCTGGGATGATGAGCTTCCAGAAAGTTTAAGATCACGGTGGCAGTCATGGGTCAGAGAATTACCCACTCTAATTGATGTGGAAGTCAAAAGATGCTACTTACCTTCAGACTTTGGAAACATCAAAAGGTATGAACTTCACCACTTCTGTGATGCAAGTACTGTAGGTTATGGTGTATGTACTTACCTCAGAGCTATCAACAAATTCAATGATATCCATTGCGCTTTAGTAATGGGGAAGTCCAGAGTTTCACCAAGTAAAGTTACAACAATGCCGAGACTGGAACTCTCAGCAGCAGTCGTTGCAGTTCGAGTCAGTAACATGCTTCGGAAGGAACTGGAAATTGAAGACCTGAAGGAATACTTCTGGACAGACTCCACAATTGTCTTGGGTTACATAAGAAACGATGCCAGAAGATTTCAAGTACAGTATTTGTTGCAAATCGCGTACAAAGAATCAAGTCAAGTACAAAAGCTGAGCAATGGGCCTACATTCCATCTGAGGATAACCCAGCAGATCATGCTTCTCGAGGATTGATGGCAAAAGAACTAAGGAAATCCAACTGGTTCTCAGAACCAACATTTCTCTGGCAAAATGAACTATCTGCTTCTAAATACAAGATAGAAGAAGTACAAGATGATGATCCTGAACTCCGCAGGGCTTCCGTGTTTAACACAAAGGCAAAGGAGAGCAGATCACTTTTAGAGTGCTTTGAGAAGTTCTCTGACTGGTCAAGATTAGTGAAAGCTGTTGCCAGATTGAAGAGACGAGTCACGGAACACAAAAGGTTGAAACAAAGAACCAATGAGGGTACAAGCTTGGAGGAAAGAAAATACGCAGAAATTGCTATTGTCAAGCTGGTTCAAAGGGAAGCATTTCCAGATGAGATACAAAGCTTAAAGGCAAATGAAGGTGTGGTTAAAACCAAGTACAGCAAGCTGAAAAGGTTAAATCCCACCTTGGATGAAGATGGAGTTTTGAGAGTAGGAGGACGTTTAAATCAATCAGCGTTACATCCTCACTTAAAACATCCAGTAATACTTCCAAAGATCAGCCATATATCCTCTCTGCTTGTCAAGCATTTTCATGAAAGGATTCATCATCAGAGACGTGGAATGACCGTAAATGAGCTCAGAGCGAATGGATGGTGGATCCTAGGAAGCAGTGGCATTGTATCTTCACACATCTTTAAATGTGTTAAGTGTTGAAAGTACCGAAGATGTACTGAAACCTAAAGGATGAGTGACTTACCTCAAGACCGAATGGAAACAACGCCTCCATTCACTTACACTGGCATGGATTGCTTTGGGCCAATCTATGTGTGACAGCGTGAGCGTCCTGTCACAATGTCCCGATTGATCGTGCTCCCTGGCTACTTGGCCAAGGGGATGTCCCTTTGGCTGACTGGTTAGAGCGTATGACTCTCACCCGGGAGTCTGGGGATCGAATCCCGCCCGGGCCCTCGTTTCTCCGCCTTGCCACATATGTAAAAGAGGGAAGAAAAGAGGTTAAAAGGTATGGACTTCTACTCACCTGTTTGTGTTCAAGAGCCATACACATAGAAATGCTTGACGATCTGACCACTGACGCATTCATCAATGCATTAAGAGCCTTTATTGCCATAAGAGGAAATGTCCGTCTACTTCGATGTGACCAAGGAACCAATTTCATTGGTGCAAAAAGGGAGCTTGCAGAGCTCATAAAAGGAATGGAAGAAGAAAGGGTCAAAGCTCTAAAATGTGAATTCCTAATGGATCCCCCAGCAGCAAGCCACATGGGTGGCATCCAGGAACGACAGATTAGGACTATTCGAAGTGTTCTCACAAGCATTCTTGACAATTCAGCTCAAAGACTGGACAGTTCATCTCTAAGAACTTTGTTTTATGAAATAATGGCAATTGTCAATAGCCGACCACTTACAGTTGAGAATTTGAATGATCCATCTGCACCTGAACCTTTAACTCCAAATCCCATTCTTGCAATGAAGTCAACAATTATCCTTCCTCCACCTTGGCAGTTTGGCAAAGAAGACCTGTATCTTAAAAAAAGGTGGCGCAGAGTCCAGTATTTGGCCAATGAATTTTGGATTCGTTGGAAAAGGGAATATCTGCTGAGTTTACAACAAAGACAAAAATGGCAGAAAACCAGAAGAAACATGAAGGTGAATGACATTGTACTCTTACAGAATGAGCAGGCACCACGAAATGAATGGAAACTAGCCAGAATAGCCGAGGTTTAATTTCCTCACTGTGGAATGATGAATTCCTAAATTCTTTGATATGAATTTATAGCCTTTTCCAGCTTTGTGTAAATCAACTACTGTCGCTCTTATTCCATCTGGGATGTCGTTGCCGCGAGGCATGTTTCAGACCCTGGCTGCCACAAATCTCCAAATGTTCACTTTTTAAAGCGAAAAGGAAAATTCAGACTGTTTTTTCCACTTCCGGTTTTTCCCGGAAGTAAATTATTTCATTTCTGAACTTTAAATATTCAATTAACTTGATTAAACAGACCGTTTTGACAGCCAACATAAAACACGTATTCCATCAAAGTTTTCATTCCCACTCTCGTTTTTGAGGAGCTAAGCCTGTCTACATGCAGCTGTAGGTTGTTTTTTCCAGGATGGATGTTTAGTGACATTCTCTACGACCCACTAAAACTACACTCACTTTCTGTCCATTACCTATTTTAGTATCTGTGGCACTAAAACTTTTCCCTAATAGAAAAGCTAAAGATCAGCTGAAACATACTGCTCACAGCGTTGGATCTATGGTTGTGTCGTTCCTCTCCTCTGTTCATCCGCTACACCAAATATTACATCGACAACCTTAAAACAGAAAACTCTACCAACAAACGTAAAAATGATTAATTCCATTTATTGTATTGCTTTTTATCACAACATAACAAGCAACAATCTGGCAACAAGACAACGGACAAATGCAATTATAAACCCAGACAAATGTATTACCACTGAATGGTGAAACTTTTGCTTAAACAAAAGGGAAATGAGACAAGAGAAGATGTTTGATGACTTTGATGACATCACTGGGCCTTCAAACACTTTAAAACGAGAGTGTAGGGAATACAGTCCAACATGTAATAAGGAACAAAGTATGTAAGGCTTGCTTATTTCCCTCATGACCAACTCTGTTAAAAAACATGAGCTCAAAACGTCAGGTTTGGTGGTCTTATTTATTTGTGATAGCACTTTTAGAACTTTGCATGAATAAAAAGCTTCAGTGGAACTGAAGATACATGAACATGCACGCACTAACAGCTTGTGTGTTATATACATCTTAAATCTAATATAGACCACTGAGATGAACACACAGCAAAATATATTAAGATGAAGAAGCCAGTGAGGCTGTACATTACCCATAAAACACATTTTTCAATCACAGTTCAGTAAAACAGGTGTGTGTGTTTCATTAGGTGTGGATGGGAAGATTCTGTGGAGGTTCTGCTGGTAGGCTGTTCCGGGCTCCTGCTGGGGCTTCGGCCTCTGTGAGACAGACAACAAGTGCCAACAGTTTTGACACTAATCATGACCCAACAAGAAAGCTGGGCTGGTCTCATTTAGTTATTTTACCTTCAGGGGTGTGTGTCTGTGGCTGAAACTGTAATTCTCCATTAGGACCCGCTGGAGGCTGCCCAACTGCCGCCTGCTGTTCTTTCTTCCTCTGTGACAATTCTAACACTGCCTAGAATTAGGAAAAAAAACACACACATGAATTTAAAATCCTAACACACAATTTTACCTGTCTGAGAAAGCCCCGCTTTCTTTTCTGGAGTTACCTGCTGGTACTCTCTTTTCTGGGCCTCCAGGGCTTTGCCTCTCTCCCTCAACAGCTCCTGCTCCTGATGAAGAGTTTCTGCCTTCCTCTTCAGCTCTTCCTCTTTGTCTCTGAGCTCAGCTTCAAATCGCTGGAGCTCATCTTCAGTGTAAGCCGGCTTCGCATCCAGTGTCTGTAAAACACCAGAGGCATGTGTGTAATACATAAAAAACCACGTCAACAGGCACTAAAAACTCTAGTTGCTATTATATTGAATAAATGACGTCCTAATCAATAAGCATAAACTATAGGTTCATATAACATGTTTGCGTCCTTTTTTAAGTTCGCAGGATCATAATTTATCCCTGAAAAGCTTAAAAATGACATACTTTTTTGTCCTTCAGAAAATATTTTCAGCGTACTTGAGACCAGATTTGAACTTTCTCTAATCTAACTCAGTCATTTTAAATGGACTCATGTCCCAATCCCAACCACTCAGGCCTCCTCTGAGCCTTTTTACCTCCCACTCTTTGGGATTATTGAACTCCTTTCTCTCTGTGGATTTGAGGAACTCCTCCAAGCTGACGAGTCGGTCCTTATTGGTGTCCACCTTTTAACACCAGCAGAAAATCAGCATCAGTGAAAGTCGCGGATGTGCAACAGCGCAGCATCTAAACGAGACCCACGTTTTTCATGACATGCTCCCTCATCCTCAGCCTTTCTTCCTCCATCTCCATCATGTCATCCTCCTCATTCTTCGGATCATAAACCTTCTCCAGCTGGTAGAGGACGATAATTCAAACGTGTTAGGAGTGAATCAAAATCAATGCATTCTGACTGCTGGGGACCTTAAACGCTCCATTTGAATTGTTTTAAATGCATTTGTTTATGTAAAAGACCTGAATAATACCTCTTTTGTGAAAAGTGCCTCTAATTCCTGCTCATCTAAAACACCATCTTCATTTGTGTCTAAGGAGAAAAATAAGAAGTTTTAATCAAAACAAAAACACATCAGCATCAACGACACAAACAGGAAGTAAAGGGAAGTGCTGCTCACCGTGAAGTTTGAAGAAAGTTTTTGGGTTGAACTCGTGAGGATCCAATCCATCAGTCTCCTCCCAAACCTCCCTCAGCTGAGCAACACTACCCTGAACATTCAAGATTATGAATCTAAACATAAATCCCCTTTAGTTTCACTGAAAAAGACCAACAAGGAGTTAATTGTCACCCACTGGAGCATTGACTTTAGGATGCTGGCGGTGTTTCTCCTTCAGATCCTGCATCCTCTTCTCCTCCTTCTCCCTCTTCTCCTGGTCCAGGCCTTTCAGGTACTCCCGCCTCTCATGCTCCTTCAGCATCTCGTAGCGCTTGAACTCGTCATGCCTCTCAGCGTCATAGTTCTCAAGGTCCTTTGTAGCCTGAATGAGGAGAACGGTAGAATTAAGCTACCAAATCAAACTATTTCAAAATTTGACAGAGTTAAGATCAGATGTAGAGAAAGAGGAAATAATTCAGACTGGGATGCTATTTATTGGTCCAGCATCTTACTGCTGAGATCAGAAGCTCGAGGTCTTTGGCCTCAAAGGTGTTTTGATTGTGTGGATCCAGATGTTCAAACTGCTTCAACAGAGAGGAGTGGTCCATCTGAAGGCCTGTGGGGGACAAAAGCAGCCACATTCCAGTTTTATTCCACACTTAAAGCAGAATGTGTAAAAAAACACCATCACACCTGTAACTGAGTAATGGCTTTGAGTTGTTGAACGACGAGCAGAAAACGTCAGTTTTCTTTCAGCAGATTTCAGGAGTTTGTCCTTTTGAACGGACACCAGAATAAACATGTTTTAACCGAACAAAGCAGCAGAGTCTGGTTTAACATGAGGGAACTGATGCATTTCCCATCGTGTTCAGCCTGTCACCAAGGTGACAACCTCAAAGATGATGAAGAAACAAACTTACAGAGAGCACAGCATCAGTTCAGACTTACTCTTTGTTATTCTCCCCTTTTGTTGGTTTGTCTTTATTTCTTTAACTTACATTTTTACTGTAGGTCCAGTTTGAAGATTGCTATTTTTTTTAAAGCTTAACCAGCGCATGTTTTGCACGAGTCACACCTATGTGAGCCTGGTTTGATGCAATGTCAGACACAAAATACTTTCACTTCACAAAAAAATCTTGGGATTCATTCAGGATTAAAATCTCACATTTAGCTTCTGCAGAAGCTAACTGCACAGACATGCGACAGATGACACACTGCTATGAACATTTAAAGGTGTGGTTGACAGAATTTTTTTTAATCATTATTTCTGATTAAAATCAATCACTCGAGTTTTTCATGCAGGCTGAACATGAAAATAGTCTCCTACACCTATCTCCTGCTTTATCTTCTGATAGAAGCTAATATCAGTGAAACGCGATGAACCTGACCGCTCTGCGTCACACTGTGAACTGGACTCACCCATATTGACTCACGACGGGGAAGGCTGTTGTTGTTTTAGCGTCCAGAATCAGCAGAGAACGTCTCGCTCAACAGAAGTTAACCGCTAGCATTAGCAACTCACTCACATAACTAGGGATGGGTACCGAATTCGGTACTTTTTAAGGTACCGACCGAATTCCACAGTACCGATCGAGCACCGATTCACTTCATTTGAAATGGTGCCTCGTTTCGGTACCCGTCCTTCACAACGAGAACTTGCCTAGACAGCTGCGCATGCGCAAGAGCGTTATGTCATCGGTCGCTGCGAGCGAGTTGTAAACAGAGCAGCATGGTAGAAAGAACGCACGCTAAAGCTTGGGTCCACTTCACTAAATGTGATGGGTAACTGGGTGATGATGAAACCAGCAACAACGATCTAAGATCTCATCTTAATCTGCTCCGGTAGGTAAATAAAATGTTTAAGATAACGTTAGCTTGATTTGTTAGCTTCCGTTTCACTAACGGTGCGTTCGCTTTCTCCTCGGAACTCCGAAATTCCGACTAGAAGAACATGAACGCGTTCTAAAGTTTGGTTTCACTTTACTAAATGCGACGGGTGATTGGGTGAAGATGAAACCAGCGACAACGATCTAAGTGTGAGGCATCATCGTTTTAATCTGCTCCAGCAGTTAAATAAACTGTTTAAGATAACGTTAGCTTGATATGTTAGCTTCCATTGCGACCATTGTTATCAGCTAATGGTGCGTTCGCTTTCTCCCCGGAAATTCTAACTTCCCAGTAGGAAAAATCAAATGAAAAAGGACGGCAAAAGGAATGAAGATACACAGTAAATTTAGTTCACAGTAAAGATGTTTGCTTCAGTTTAATTATCAGCTTATAAAACTACAAGGACGATGTTAAAATACAAACAGTTGTATGTTATTTATCGTGATATTTATCAAATATGGTTATATATTGAGAAAAATAAATATTTAATTATAAAAGAGAATTTAAATATTAAACACTCAAAAGTACAGAAAATTGGTACCGTTAAGTACCGGTATCGATTCCTAGGTACCGGGAATTAGTAACGGATCGATTCAAATGTCAAAGGTACCCATCCCTACACATAACAGAAGCTCTTCCAGACTTGTTATATGTGGAGATAAGCATTCATGCCCCGAGCAGACATTAGTGGTAGAGTCGTGTTGCTTTTATCCAGTCCGAGGCAAGATGTCTAAATATCAGGAGATAAGACTCCAAATCCTCCCGTTTGAAGCATGGCTCTGACGTCGCAGACTGGTCCTGCTGGGCCAGGGGTTTGTGGGCTTTTATTGTGCCCTGAGTTCTGCCTGCAAGGCCTTCAGTCCTAGAGACCACTGCAAATGTGTTGATTAAACGAGTAATCTACACCTTTAAAACAACACTGTGGAACACTGTAATTATTTAGGTTTATGTACGCCGCAAAAATCAAGAGAATGTGGGTAATAAAACCTGCTCAGACATACTCTGTGTGTTTGTGCTGTCCAGCTTGGCCTTCAGCAGCATCCTTAGGCGTGAAACTTCCTGTCGCTTCAGCTCATCCAGTCGAGTTCTCACATGGTGACTGACCAGGTCCAGTTCTTTACTGAGACGTCCGTTCTGGTGGTGAACACAAAACCACCAGCTGATTGTATCATCCAGACAAAGGCATGGTTACAGCGTACCAAGGTGCTACACTAAATAGGGTCAGGCGATTTGTATAATTGTTCCCACCGCCAACCGTCAGTCCAATAAATGCTGATGGGCGAGTTTTTCGAGCATGTGACTCTTTGGGCAACGTCATGATGCACGGACTGATTTGTGAATACAGCACAAGTACAAACACAGATTCTTTTTTATAGAAGCGCAGCACATATGTTTGCTGGAGGAGAAAGTTTGATTTTTTTGTGTAATTTAGTATTTGTAGTTTGTTGGTGTCAGAAAGGGTTATAGTTATTGCAGTTCTAGAAGATCCATTTGTAAAGTTACCCCACTCTTATTTTGGTGGTCCAGTTTGTGACGTCACTTCCTCTAGATAGTCACTTCCTGTAAAGCCGTTTCTACCATTTTGTCCAAGCTGTTGGTGGTGGCAGACAGCCTCGTGTGCGTTCATGACTGATATGTAAGTTTGGTCAACCGTAGCACCTCTATGGATACATAAATAGCCTAAAAGTTCATTCAGTATCCTTTATGTCTGTCTGGACATATTGTTTGGATTAGGGCTGCACAATATATCGAAAAATTATCGTCGTCGCGATAAGTCAAAGTCAAAGTCATTTATTGTCATATTCTCCACATGTGCAGGACATACAGAGAAATGAAATTCAGTTTCAGCACACACAATTCAAAGATCAGACATACGTGGGTAAGACACATAACAAGAATTGGTGACTGCGGTCATTCGCAACATGAGTCGCGCTACCTTAGTAGTTAGATGAAAAGGGTGTTACATGAGGAAAGTTCAGGGAGGGAGAAAAAAAGGCATTAACAGGGTTACACCAGCAGGGTGTAGCCCTCCAATGCAAAAAAACACCCAACATGGAAGCACAGACAGCACGTATAAAACATCAGAGTCCAATGGGGAGGTGGGGGTGGGCGGGATCCTGAAGCCTCCAATGGGAGCTGCCACTGCGGCGCATCGACCAGCTGCAGACCAACAGGTGGGAGGGAGAGATAAGGAACAGAGAGCACATTGAGGTCCTTGCAGACATGTCAGCCTGAAGGAAGAGGGTGAAGGTCGGGACACAGCATCTGTCGGCATTCCTCCTTTTGTGGGGGTGTGTTGAGGCAGCCTTGAGAGGCTGCTATGGCGTCAGATAAGGTTAAACATGACTTTGTTTGTTTAGGGCAGACAGAGATAATCTTCCTCTCCGCCTTGGAGTCTATAACCGGTCATTCATGTCCACCAGTGAAGCCAATTTTACATTCCACATCCCCGCATCGTCCGGCGACCCTCTCCGAGATCAAATCCATCTTGCGCACTAACACAGGCAACGCCGCAAGGACATTGTCCAGCTTACGGTTCACCTCGAGTAACGTCCCAGTCTGTGAGGTCACCGCACGAGCGGCACATTCCGTGGGTACGGGTCGCACTCCAATCGCTCCCGTCTTCACAAATTTCCAGAAAACCAGATATCCTCCCACTCCAATCAGAAGAAATCCAGTGATCATCAGGCCGAATATCCACAAATCTTCCACGTCCTCGATGGACAGCTGAGAGAGGCACACGATTCGCCAGACCTCCCAAGAATCGAGTGTATATCCCGATGTGAATGTCCCCTCGGGACAGGTGGGAGCCCCCTTCTCCGTTCTCATCGTAGAGAAAATTTTGTCAATCACGTTGAATGACCAATTAATTAAGTCCATATTTCCAAAAAAGAGTAGTGGTTTCAGGAGAAATGCAGAGAAGTGCTCTGTAGGCAGACAGGACAAGAGCCTTGGGGAAGCCGATAAGGGAGCTGAGAAAAAAGCATCTGTGCTCTCTGAAGGCAGGAGAAGAAGGCCCATCGCAAAACACGGCAAAAACAGCGATAAATGTTTGGTTCAAACATTTCTAGAGCTGAAACGATTCCTCGAGTACCTCGAATAATTCGAGTACAAAAAATCCTCGAGTCAAATTCTCTGCCTCGAGGATTCGTTTAATTCATATTTAATTAATTCATGGCTTTGCAATCGCCTGGGGTCATGTTTCACCCGGACCGAAATAAGTGACGCACATGCCCACTGGACTGAATGCACACGCGAGTAGCGAATATAACTTAACTTTCTCTTAACAACGTGGACCCCGGTGGAGTGCGAAAAAGACAGAAAATGTCAATGGTGTGGGACCATTTTTCACGTCGTAAGGCGGAAAACGTAGTCCAGTATAAATACTGTAAAATGGATTTAGCCTACCACAACACCACATCCTCCGTGCTGCAGCACCTGTAAATGTCACTTCTGCAAGCGGACTCGGAGCCTCTACAAGATAATGCATTTTAGCCTGTATTTCTATATATTCTGCGGACACTGTGCGACTTTTCCGTTTGTAGCACTTAGTTTCAGCTCACACCGTACATCTGGTAACAACACGTCGGACTTAAAATGTGCTAAAAAATAGCAGTTTTTACACAAATGTCGGACTTTCTATTGTGTTATTGATGTCTGTTGTCCCTCGGGGTTTCTGTAGGAGGACACGGGTATTTATGAGTGGCGGAGGAAAACGAAAGAAAGTAAATACATGTTTTGTGATCAGTATAATTTGACAAAACCACAGCAAACATGCTTTTGGCAATCCTTGTTAGTGTGAGAAAAAAAAAGTGTAGAAATTAAAACGGACGTGTGTTAATAGGGAAACAGCCGGCGAGCTGTTTGCGACGTGAGCGGTTCTGGTTCTGTTTGGGCCGCAGCCGCTCGCAGCGTTATCCTCCTAGTTTTTGTCTGGCTTGCAGGCTAGCAGATTCTCGCACGAGGGGAAAATCGGCTCAGGTTGTTTACTTATTTTTTGCACACGCATTTGTTTACTGTGAAGTAAAGTTGAAGTGCTGAAGTTATGCAAACTAATTTTGAATAAAACTTGAAGAATAACTGGCAATTGCTTGCTCATTTTAAGAGGTCTTTCATAATTATAACATGCTATTTGATATCAAATCACTTTTATTGTCACGTCACATGTGCAGGTACACTGGTACAGTACATGCGAGTGAAATTCTTGTGTGCGAGCTTCACAGCAACAGAGTTGTGCAAAAATACAGTAATGTAAAAACAAGTAAAATATAAAAATGGCTAATCTAAGTATACAAATGAATAAAGTAAACAATAAGATAAGAGATATAAAATGTACAGAGGTTGGTATGTGCAAAACAGTGGCATTAATGTACAGTATGGAGTGTGTAATGTTGGAACTTGGTGGAGCTCGCGACGAGGCAGCCATACTCGGCGCCATCTTGGCTCATCAATATATGATATAATGGTTTACAAACAAAAAGGGTAATTTATTAGAGTACTCGATTAATCGAAAAAAAGATTCGATAGAGTACTCGATTACAAAAATATTCGATAGCTGCAGCCCTAAACATTTCCATCCGTGTCATACATCAGCTTTTTGTAAACCAGCTCTGTTTTTTACGCTGAAGTATTATTTGACCAATCAGATGCGGCCAATCAGATGGTTCCGTTCACGTAATACGCCCGCCCCCTACGTAGACCCTTTTGGAAAGCAACACCCGAACAGAGTTTGCTGCGCTGTTCCCTTGTTCGTCATGCTGGCTCAGAGCATCGAACGCACTTTGTGCTGATGTTTCTGGATTCAGCGCTGCTTTCAAACGTGAACGTGAGTCCGCTCGGTGTCGTTAATCATTTTTACCGGGCTGACTCCGACACGTGCCGGTGAACCAACCCACCTTCATGTCGCTAGTGTTAGCCCCAGGCTCCGGTTAGCTTCCAGCTAAAAGGCTACAGCACTCTCCTCCCAGTCCCACCCTGCTAAAGAGGGCCTGGAAAAGTTCCCCCACACATCAAAGTGATTTTTCCTTTATGAGCTTTTATAACCTTGTTAATCAGGATAGTTGATTTGCTGCTGCACATAAACTGTCAGTCAGAAGCTCTGCTAGCCAGTTATCTTAGTTCAATCTGTTAGCTTGTTATCAGAATCATTGTTGCAGTTTCATCATCTGAGCTGCTTTTTAAGATCTAGGTAAACTTGTTCAATTTGGGGTTAAAAAAAACGTTTTCACATATTTTCCATGTAGTTTTTTTGCCAGTTCCTCTTCTGAAAGGTAGACAATTGTTTTTCTCTTTCCCTCAGAAAATCTTAATATTCTCCTAGTTTGGCCCAGCACAGTTCACTTCCCAATTACAGCAACAGCCTTCTATCATAACCACATAAGTGGAGAAAATGCTCAGTAGCAATGAGAGAATTTGCTGTTGCATTTAAGTGATGTTAACTATTATTTAACATTTAAACTTATTTTCTGATTTTTTTATTTATTCAAAAACCCTGGTAAGGGATGTTTTTCTGTATTTGGAGCATCAGAAAAAGTTTTATGGTGGAGGTGATGTTTTAAAGTCACTGAGAAACTGCATGCATGCAGTTTGTTGTTTTGCTGCTAATACAGTAGCAGGTGCAGCTGCATATTATTTCAATAAAAATGTTGTGTCGTAATGGAATTCATGCATTAGTTTTTGTTTGCTTTGAACCCAGAGCAGCCGTCACACGCCAGACGACATCAACACTGCATACTTTAGTATTTGTTCATTTATCGTGAGCAATATCGATATCGCAATATTAAGCACTGTTATCGAATATCGCAGGTTTTCCTAATATCGTGCAGCCCTAGTTTGGATTGTTTAGAGGGAGTTCCTACAGTTTAATTGGTATCAGTTGCTATTCTCGCTTGTTGTCCGCATTTCACTTCTCTTAATTTGTGTTATGTGTGCTAAATACTGGTTTATTTGTGTATCATTCCATTTAATCCATGTGTACCCGTCCATGACGTCAGGTCAGTTGAGGTGTGGTTTAATGCCAGGCTAATTGGCAGCATGGTTTAGTAGTGCGGTACTTGCAACCGCAGTACCTTGGTTTGACCACCAGAGGTCCCTGGAGACCATATGATTTTGTCAGTGCCTCTGAGGGTGGAAGTCAGTATTTACTCTGTGTAACCCTTGAATGTGCATCATTTGGGAATATATTTGTTTTTGCATAGTCTTTAACATTTGGATATTTATTTCACCATTTGCACAGTCCTTTTACATCACTCTTTGTATTTATTTTCCAGACCACACGGAACCACAGAAATGTATAGATGTCCATACTTCTACTGTCAATAAATACGTAAAACTGTCTCTCCATGCCCTGCTCTCTGACCGGAGTCCTTATCTTGAAGATACTGTCGGATCAGCAAATAATTTCCAGAGTTCCCACTCTATCACAGTTGGTGACGTATAAACGGCTCATATTAAACATGGTTAAAGCGTTAAAAAGAAGCCTCGTTTTTGTGTCCCTGCGGTGCCCACCACTGTGGTATTTTATTTATGACAAGTGTTTTTTCTACTTGGGTTTCTTTCTTTTATGACGTTGAGAAATGAAAATGAATCGCTGCTACATTGGGACACACTCTGAGGATGGAGCATTTGCTCGCTGCCAGAGGACACATGATACATTTATCCCTTCAGCTTTCGTTTTAAAAATAATAATCACTCCATATCCATTCATTTTTAATAATTATTTAATCCAAACAAGATAATTCGAGTCCCCCAAATAAACAATGCAGTTAAAGGATTTCCCTTAAACTAGGAAGATTTCACCTGCTGCAGCCTGAACACATACTCCTTCTGCTCCGTGTAAACCTGAGCTGGTCACCTGCAGCTTGTGCGTGATCAAATGTCTCTAAGGAGCTTGCTGAAGAGGTTCTGGACTTTTTCCTCAGACAGACTCGTAGATGTTTAAATGTTGTGGATGAATTCGAAGCAGGTGCTGAGTAACGAGCGCTACTTAAGCCAACGTCTTAAAATCAGGAAAATTGCCTCCAAATGAAATAACCAGAAGTCTCTCTCTGAAAGATACAAGTGTCTCCACTTTCCACTCGACACTGCGCTCTTGTGCATGATGCCGAGTGCGCCACAGAAGCTCTCCCAGCTCCTCCTCAGCACGCCGCTTGCGCGCACTGTCAGCAGCAAGATGCGGAGAAAGTGAGAGATAATGCTCAACTGCGCTGACGGAGATCTTTCCTTGTTTTTTTTTTTATTTACCTCCGATGTTCTTTGTGCCTCACATGTAAAACATCTGTCATTAACAAACCTACTCACGGTCAAATAGATAAATAAACAAATCGCCTCTTGTAAAGACAATCGTAACAGCTCAGCCCATCACCAGTGGTCGAATAATTTGTCCCATCGCCCAACCCTAACACTAAACACGTTAATGACATGATATAAATGATAAGGTGTTGCTGTTCACTTCAATGAATATTTTAACTATGTCAAGACCTTGTAAGAGTTGCTGTTTTGTCCTGAAACCGAAAACTTTTAACTGAAAGAGTTTTTTTTTAGTAAGATGATGCAGATAAGAGGAGCAGTAACGTGTTTAGATGCTAACCTTAATGTCCTCTGTGTTTGCTGTCTGCAGTTTCTCTCTGAAGTGAGGATCAGTCTCCAAAACCTCGATCACCTCTCTGAGGTACCGGTCGTAGTACAGACCCGTGTCCTGCAGGCGTGGGTTTTACAGCTCAAGTTAAAACTGACAAGAGTCCCCGCTCATCTGAAATGAAAACACTTCACACACTCACCATGCTCTCTTCCTGAACTTCCTCTTTAGGCTCCTGACTGGCTCCATCGTGATTGATGGGCACCGACCACACTGCCGCGGGCATGAGCAGGAGCATCAGCCAGCCAGGTTTCAGGTTCATCCTTCTGTAATGGGATCAATGGTGGTGATCAGTTCTTCTACATGAAAGCAAGCAACTACAGAAGTTCAATTCAGACAATGATGAACCTCATTTTAATAAAAAATGCTTTTTAAAGGTTCCTATGCCCTTGCATCTTACTGAACAGTATGAACGTGGGAAAGTTTTCTGCTGTAATTTCCACTGTTGGGTCTATTTAATGTGACATTAAATGTTCAGATGACCTCCTAATCACTCAGGGTTTTATTGTCCTTGATAAATAATGCATTTAGAGTGATCCAGACTACATATGTTTCCCCATGGTGGCTAAAAAGTGACCATCTTGAAAAAAATGATTGTTGCTCCTTATAAAATGTGTTTATAATTACAATATCAGTCGCTGCTTTGATGATTGAAACGTAGACCACGAGCTGTCTGATTTAGAACACTTGAAGAACAACTAGACGAAGGTTTAAAGTTTTATATTGGATTAGCGGTCTCAGGTACATCGTTTTATTTAGTTTTAGGACCAGAAGATATACTTAGAGAAGGGATACAAGTGTTAAAAATGTAATTTTTTGTGTTTAACTTATCTGTAGTTAAATTAGCTAGGAAGCTAAGCCTGCAGTTCACGGATGTAGGCGTGATTAAAGACAAATAAGGATGTTTTTATGATCATAATGGCCTACAGGAGAAAGTAAAGCGATCTGAAATAAGGATCGACTTTTACCCCATTTAAAAACCCAAGTTTTACCGGAAAAGGAAGACCTTATTGTAGCAAAAAGCTGCAAAAAAATTCTAGCACAGCTCGACCGACCTCGTCTCGTTTTACTTTGTATTTTTGCTGTAATTATACGATAACTATTCCATTAAAGATACAATAAAACGCGCTACAACTGTTTAAATTACTTCAGTTTGCCTCTTACCGCCTGGATGCCATCAAAATCCACGAACCTGTTTTCGGGTCTGATGGAAATGACGTCACTAGCGTGCAGCGCAGTTTGATGTGCTGCCTTCAGGAACAGTCAGTAAAAATGACAATCAGGTTTGCGACAAGTCATTTGGCATCATTATACTTTTTTGTTTTATTGTTGTTAAAGAAATATATTCACAGGATAAACATTCAGGCTTGTCAAAATGAAACTTGATTGCGTTTGTTCAAACAAGATTTAAGCATGGTGATTTAGAATAATCGTGTATCTTATTGTTGCTTGAAAGCATCATTCTTAACAAGGTCAGAAACCAAAACATACGATGTGTGTGTGTGTGTGTGTGTGTGTGTGTGTGTGTGTGTGTGTGTGTGTGTGTGTGTGTGTGTGTGTGTGTGTGTGTGTTCATTTTCAGAAGAGCTTACTATCGCAGTGCCACTAAACAAATATGAGGAAATTGAATGTCCATCAATCCATTGTCAAAACAAGCTTTTCCAGGCAGGGTACACCCTGGACAGGTTGCCAGACCATTGCAGGGCAATACAGGACAAACAATCAAGCGCACGCGCGCGCGCACACACACACACACACACACACACAAAGATAATTTTGAGAAACCAATCAGCCTGACACTCATGTTTTTGGACTGTGGGAGGCCAGGTTACCTGGAGAGAACCCACACATGCACAGGGAGAACCCATACATGCACAGGGAGAACCCACACATGCACAGGGAGAACCCACACATGCACAGGGAGAACCCACACATGCACAGGGAGAACCCACACATGCACAGGGAGAACCCACACATGCACAGGGAGAACCCACACATGCACAGGGAGAACCCACACATGCACAGGGAGAACCCACACATGCACAGGGAGAACCCACACATGCACAGGGAGAACCCACACATGCACAGGGAGAACATGCAAACTCTTTGCTGAAAGACCCCAGGCTTGGATTTGAACCCAGGGCCTTCTTGCTGCAACGCAACAGCACTAGCCACCGCACACAACTGTGTAGCTAATTATTTGTCTTAACTAAAAAATTGTCATCAATTAATATTTTGTCATTAAACAGTTTTTTTTTCTTCCAGAAAAAACACATTATTTCTCGCATTTGAGAAAACTGGCTTTTCATTTTAATATCTCCACCTTACTGTATTTACCTTTCACCATCACCAAATCATCATCAAAAACAAACAAAAAAAATCTTTTACATCCTGTGTATCATTCTGTTTACAGGGCATCTTATTTCATACATTTATATCTTGTTAATAACAAAAATGAAGATAAAATACAATCAAAGGCTTTTAAATAACTTTGAAAAATAAATTTAATGTATATTTAAATCAGTACACACAAAGAAAGTAATGGCAAAGTGAAATAAATTAGCATTGATAGAATTAACAATTGCACATGATCATAAATAAAAGTATAAATATTGTGCATCAAAATAACACCAAACCCTGAATAAAGTCCAAACAACCTAAACTCAAATATGGCACATCGTGCACACAATTTTCTCAAATAAATAAGGCAATACAAATAATAATAAATAAATTACTCAAAGGTATATTAAAACAGCACAGCACGATACAGATTTATATCAGTTTCACTGATGAACTCAACAACATTTACCGGTAGTTTGACTTTGAAATTCTATTTTAGAAATCAATTGCTCTCATGTCAGTTGGTGTTCCAGCTCTTTCATTCTCCACCTCGTCATCCTTCTCCATCGGGCCAGGCTGCAGCCCGCTCCTCAGTCGCTGTCTGAGGGCAAACTCGATCATCTCACTGTAGCACTGCAGCACCGCCTGAAATAACAAGACATGCGTGAATCAAAGTACTTTTATGTAATCAGTATGCCGTAAAAATTCCCCTCAAACCAACAAATAATTTATTTATTTGAAATCACTAAGCATTATTTTAACAAGTTTAAACCATATTTAGTCCCAGGTAGACTAACCAGATCTGTTTGACACAGCTCTGCAAGTATTTTGCTCGTGACTGCCAGCTGAGAGGGCCGTTTGTTGCCCAGGCCTCTCAGTGCACAGTTCAGTGATGCTGCAGCAACAAGTGACGGAGGAGCTCCCAGAAACCCGGAGTCACAAGTGCACATGGCAGCCAGGGTGTCACTGTGTCGCCGCAGGGTGGAGAGTAGCTCAGGGTCCCCTCGTTCCTCAACGGCAGCCAGGAAATGAGGAAGGAAGTCCTGGGGGGTCACTGCTGCTGTGTCCCACCGGAGGGTGGCGAGAATAACGCGCTCCATTTCCTAATGGAGAGTAGATTAATAACAGTGAGTTTAATCAGGGTGTTGATTCGTTACAAAAAAAATCACTTATTCTTTTATCTTTCTGTAACGGTGAAAAAAAAATCTACCCAAAGTTTGACGGAGTGGATGCAGTAAAAAGCTCACCCTCAGGTCTGAAGGCAGGAAGCTGTACTCTGCTGCTGCGCACAGCGAGTCGGCTGAGACCGTGTGACACTCTGTGAGTTTAGACGCGATCAGAATGCAGCCAGCAGCTAGGCAGTACAGTGAGACATGCAGAGACAGAGAGGCAGACAGGAATCTGTCCAACAGAGAGACAGACATGGGGAAGACTGCCTCGCCACACCCACACTCACAGCACACCTGGAGGGGAATACAGGAAGAAGAGATGCTGCTGTGAGGAGACAGCTCTCCCAGCACTGTGAGGGAACTCAAGAAGCTGGAGCACGAGGGTTTTCCTTTACCTCCAGGGCCCATTTGGCCAGCTCCTCCCTGCGTTGTGGATCCCGCTGGACTAGGGTGATGTAGAGAATGGAGGGCATGTACCTCTCCTCCACGTGAAGCAGCCTCTGGATCACCCGATGCCCCGACACAGTGGGATCCCAGGCAGCTCGGAGCTGAGGTGATGTCCTGATGTGGCCCAGAGCTCCTTCCTCACTCTCTGCCTGCTCTCGACTTTGGTCATCCTCGACCTCCTCACACCAAAGAGACACAGACATTCCTCTGTCCATTCTCCTGTAGGATGAAAGAAAAGAGTCCACGTCTGTCTGTCTGATTCCCTAAGAGGCTGTGCAGCTAAGAGGGAAGCAGCTTACTCCCTGCAGACTTAAAAAGTCTTCATGAGGTGTTTCACTGAATCCCACCCCCACTCTTCTCTCAGAGTTTTATACCCAGCAGTGAGAAAAAAAGACGAAGGGAGTGACCAAGTGGGAAGGCAAAACACCAGAGAAAGGGGGCAGAGACCATTCTGAATGCCATAAAATAATACAAAGACATTAACTGCTCAACAATTGCTTCAACAGGTGGGGAGAGGGAGCAATGTGGAGAGCAAGGGGAGAGAAGAAGGCAGGGGAGGAGTGAAGAGGAGCAGACAAGAGAGGGAGTGGCCCGCAGGGACCGAGCAACAGCTTGCTGTCGACAGTGAAAGAGGGAAGGAGGGAAAGAAAAGAGAGAAGAGAGGAAAGGTCATCTCCAGACTCTGACAATGGGCATGGGTGACAAAAGGAGAAGGGTGTTTGTTTACAACCTGAGCAAAGGAGGAAATATGTCAAATGATGGATGGATGGATGGATGGATGGATGGATGGATGGATGGAGGACAATTCTGTTTTTTCATTATAACCACAAACCTTCTTGAAGACACAGAATAACCACAGAAGGGATTTCTGGTAATTTTATATTTCATATTCATATCAGATAATTGGTTTAAAATGGAAAATTTCCAGTTTCTCAGTAGTGTTAAAGTACTATTTTTGAAACCAAACATTGCATTTAAAAGTATTCTATATTTGTTTATATATATATATTATATAATTTTATATATTTCTAATAAAAACAAGAACTTTAACAAAAAGGCTCAAGCAGTAAAATATTCAGACAAACTGAGTCGATCACTGAGATGGTTTACAAAGAAAAGACCAGGTTCTGAAGGCTTTCTTTTTGGGAATAAAAGATCTTTGTTTTCTATAATTTTTTTAAACTGGGACAATATCTTATATTTAATAAACTTTTGTGGACTCACAAATGGCTCTTATGTAATAAAACCCAAGTTATAATTATGTAGACTTTCACATCTGAGTTTTTCTCTCTCTGTGTCATTTCTCATTGTCAAAGCAGCCCGCGTCCCGTCAGCCTCTCCGCCTTGTGGCAATCTGCTGCCTGCATTTAAAGAGCATTGAAGCCAGTGGGGCAGGCTGGGTGAGGTATGTGCAACAGACAGTGGAGCCCGGCAGGTCAATGAGCCATATTGTCTCCGTTTACAAATCAGTGTCAGACAACAGGCCCTGGCCTTCTGCCTGCTGCCTGCTCCACACACTTCACACATTCATGGCGTAGACACACTCTTCACACACACACTCTCTCTCCCCAGGGACCCCTCTGATGGTCACAATGGGGTCACACTCACCAGCGTAGATCGTGCAGATTGAATTTGACTCATTACAGGTGGCTTTTCACACATTAGGGTTTTAACAGTGGCTCAAGTTTCAAATGAGAGTTAAATGGACGACTGAGCTGACACCATGACGTTACTTGATTTCAGCTGAGCATCAATAATTCATACTGTTCAACACAAAGGAAACACCTGGTTTTACAAACTCAAAAACACAGACTGAGACCTCTTGAAGATTTTGTATAAATATTTAAATTGTATTTATAAAAATGGTAAATTAACAAGTGTGATGAGAGGTCACAAAAGAAAAATGAATGGGAACAAATTAAAGAAAGAAGGAAAATAAGAACACAGAAAGTAAAAGAAGAGCAACGATCCCAAAAACCATCCCAGCAAATAAAAAGCCCTAAAAATATAAATAGCTTCACCACTTTACCTATCTATCCATCCATCTATCGGTCCATCATCCATCCATCCATCATCTATCCGTTCATCCATCCATCCATCCATCCATCAATCCATCCCTCCATCCATCTGTCCAATCTCCAGTGTCATATTTTGGTCCTCATGGTCCACCATCTAGCGAGGTAGAACTTTTTCTCTCTGCTTCATTGCACCTGACTTTTATTTATTTATTTATTTTAAAATCATACCTATAATAACCAATAACAGGCTTCTGCAGAACTTGGTGACTTGTGAACCGAGTGTGTTTGGGGTAGCGGAACTGCTAAAACTGGCTGAAAGGTGACTTCCAACGACTGTGGGTTTAACACCCTTGTCTCTAGTGAGATAAACAAGTGTCATGCGTGCTGCATTCATCTACTGAAACTTCCGCAAATGATCACATTGAAATGCCTCTGTGTATGAAATATGCTATAGTTAAAGCTGCCTTGCCAAACTAAATGTCAAATTAAATCTAAAGGAAGTCAGGTAAGAAGACGAAAAAGAAAAAAAAAGAAAAAGAAAAAGAATAAGAAGAAGAAAAAGAAAAAGAAAAAGAATAAGAAGACGAAAAAGAAAAAAAAAGAAAAAGAAAAAGAAAAAGAAGAAGAAAACTTCCCCTGACCCTGAAACCTGCTGCTATGAGATAATGGTGCAAATTGATCTGTTATACTATACTCAGCATTATGGATTATCCTCCAATCACTAAGTAAAATAAAAGTCTAATAAACATTTGCAATTTTAAACTAAATAATATAAAAACAATTGAGAGGACTTGGTAAAATAGATTATTTTAATAAAAGGCCAGACTGAGCGTCTTGTTAAAAACCTTCAGCCATCCTCCTGAACCACTCTTTCACAGGGAAGGGTCTGAACCAGAGGAACTTTTCCGCAGGATCTGAGGGACCTGGAGGGCTTGTAGGATAAAAAAAAAGCATTACTGCTTTCTGTCATTACAGTTTGAAGCTAAATTATACATTTATGTAAATATATGTCCTCAAAACAATTCATCTTAAAAATGTTTCCATTCATGTTTCATTTGAAATGATTAATTTGGGTGTTTTATTGTGTATTTTATTGTCCTATTTTATGGACCACCAATTTGTGCAATGTGATGAAACAAACATTTACTGTCAAAATATACAAAACTTTTAGGTTTATTTCAACAATAAATTACAAAACAATACAAAAGGTTAAAAAAGTGAATGGAACTTTACATTGTGTGTATAGCTCTTGATAATGTATTCAGAATGGTGTGTGTTTATGGGTTTTGTAAATATTAGTGAATGCAAATAAAATAGTAAGCTCTGGGAAACAGAATGAGTTCCTCAATTGAATTTAAATTAACAGAATGAATGTGACGAGAGGTAAATCTGTTTTCTCCAAGCTCTACTGAAAAATTAATCATGTCAGCATTTAACAGATTTTCTAAAATTGAGTGAAAAATCCTAGAAAGGTCATGGAGGAGGCCGGAAACATGACTTTTTCTAAGAAACTCAGCATGAGGACCAAATAAAGAGACAACAATCCTCCAACAGTTAGTCAACTGTGGATTTAACCATAGAAAATTGGGCTTAAAGGTGTTTAACAAGGCTTTTGACTCTAAACAGGCTTTGAGATGAGCTGAAAGCAGATTGAGTTTGAAGGAGCGACTGAGTGAGATTAGCTCTGCCAGTCAAGTGAGGTAGGCTCGGAGTGGAGAGGAAGAGTGACAGATCGTCAGCCTGTTTAAGCAGCCTGCTAAATTCATACACCGCAGCTGTATTCAAACAACATGTATTGACGGGGTGGGAGACAGTGACGAGCCAAAAGAGGAGTGCAGCAGGTCCTGAGAAGGAGGCGTGGCTGCACGCCCCTCATTTTCCACCTCATTTCCCGGGACAGAAGAGAACAGAGGTCCTTTTAACTCAAAACAGACACCTGCTGGTTTTGAAGGTGTGTGTGTGTGTGTGTGTGTGTGTGTGTGTGTGTGTGTGTGTGTGGAGGGGGGTTAGTACAGAGATCACAAGTTAAAACATTATAAACAAAAACAAATCTTAGATTTGAAACCAAAGATTTCAGTTCCCTTTCACCAGCTGGCCAGAAGATAGCTTCCTTCAGTTAAACTCTGAAAGGACTGAATGTCTGATTGTCGCCCTGAGAGCATGGTTCCCCTCATTAGTCAAAAACTTGGTCGTTTATCTTCTGCCATCAAGACAAACTTTAGGAATCTGGGTGTTGTTTTTGACCAATCAATGTCTGTTGAAGGCCACTAATGACAAACTAAAGATCTACAATCTAGATCAATTACTAAATTTCAAACAGTCACAGCTAAGGAGATGACCAGATTCGGTCTGTGTCTCCCTGAATTGCTCTGATGTAGTTGCCCCATCGGGTGCTGGAGAATGTAACAGCGTAGCCGCCATATTGGGCGGGTCTCCTCACTCCCCAAATCCAGCTGGAGTCAACCCAGAGTGAGCCTGTTTTTTTGTGCAGCCTATGGTTGCAACAACGGCGTACAATGGAAAACAGATCACGTGGGATTACTATTTACTTTATCTAGCCTACCTGTTGGGATTTTATATTTTTATTTATGAATTAATTTTTTAAATTATATTTATATTTCAATTACCATGCCACACCACACGTCTGACTTTATGAAAAAGCATAATAAAATGTTTTTAAATGTTTTACAATTTTTAGTTGGGTAAGCACCTAGAGAATGAATGGACAAAGGAGACAGAAAATCGTAAGGCGCTCGAAAAGCTGGATCCAGACAGCTCCAACATTGTAAAAGTAATTGGTGGTGGGAGTATAAACACAGAACCTTTTTATCATTTGAGCTTCTGCATTCAGATCTGAAGCATGTGATGACATTTAGAAACTTTCAGCCATTAGAAATATTCAAAATCAGAGAAGTTGCCCAACAAATTCTTGCTTCTCTAAAGGCACTTGGGAAAATCAAGATGGTTCATTGAAATATTAAAGCAGACTGACTCAGCCATACGATGTAGACTGTGACCATTTAAATGTGAAGCTGTTAGACTTTTGTCATGCGTCAACAACTAATGAAGAAGAATATGGGTCGCAGCATACGTTCTACAAGCCTTTTGAGATGGTGGGTCTTCCATTAGGCAGGGCAATAGATACAGTGGTGTGAAAAACTATTTGCCCCCTTCCTGATTTCTTATTCTTTTGCACGTTTGTCACACAAAATGTTTCTGATCATCAAACACATTTAACCATTAGTCAAAGATAACACAAGTAAACACAAAATGCAGTTTTGAAATGATGGTTTTTATTATTTAGGGAGAGAACAAAATCCAAACCTACATTGCCCTGTGTGAAAAAGTAATTGCCCCCTGAACCTAATAACTGGTTGGGCCTCCCTTAGCAGCAATAACTGCAATCAAGCGTTTGCGATAACTTGGTACAAGTCTTTTACAGCGCTCT